AAGATGTATCAATACATTAAAATATAAATAGAAAAAAAGAAGAAAAACCACAAAAATAAAAAGGAAATAAAAAGTGAAAGAACACCACTTTGAGACTCCTTTTTAGATAGTAAAAGAAGGATATAAATAAATAAATAAGTCAGTAGTCTATGTAAGTGCCTATTGAGGAAGCAACGAAGTTGGGAAATCAGCTTCCCTCTGCAGAATAGCAAGTAAGAATTCCTTTTGGCCACAGGAAGTGAAAATATAGAATTTGGTACTTTCCATAGCTTCAGGCATCCATGGGAGGGTCTTCAATAAGGGTTCTCACTGTACTCTCTTAGGCTCAGTCTTCTGTATCCACTGTATTCTTTGGACCTAAACCGATTGGCCCTCCATATCAACTGTACTTGTTACATGTCACTCCCTAAGGTAAATCATCCCCAGATTTTCTTGGCAATATTTATTCAGCATGGGTTTGCCACTGCCTTCCTCTAAGCCTGAGAGAGAGTTACTTGTCCAAGGTCATTCAGTGTCCTTCCATGGCTGAACAGGGATTTAAAATCTGGTCTCCCAGTGTCCTAATCCAATCCAATACCACACTGGCTCACTCCAGATCAAAATATACCTCACAATGGGAACAACTAAAAGCAAGGTGCTGGAATAATTTGGCTACAAAGAAATTTTGCAATCCTTGGGGCTTTTCACCTTAGCAAAGCCCAAATAAGAAGAGCACCGTAAAGGCTTAAGATACTATATACAATCGGATAGGAATCAATAAACATTTCCCCAATACCCAATAAAACAAGAATCTTATGGCATCCAAAGGTTCTAAACAGTGAGAGTTCTGCACAACCAAAAAGTACTTTTTTCATATTGTGCATAATTCAGCAATAGTTTTTGAAACAAATCTCAAAGGTGTTAAAAAAGAGGTTTAAAAATGCATGGAAGAAAAGGCTGTCAATGCCTTTTGGTCTCAGGATTCTCTCAGGAAAAGAGGCAGGGCATTTCATAATACCAGTTGTTGCAGAGTAAGTGATGCAGAATCATTGCTTTTGGACTTTCTTAGGCATGTGGTTAGCAACAGGATGCTGGCCTAGACAGGTCTTGGTCTGATCCCGCACTCTCTTATCTCCACTAAAACTAGATGTATTTCCACATCACCTTATAAATATAAAATACATGCAAGTATAGTTTAATCAGGATTTCTTTTCAGGATTCAGGCTTTGTAAAATCTTTATTAAAATTGCTAAAATTTCACAAACTTAGTGCGTTTTGGGCTTTCCACACTCTTTCTTCAGAATGGATGGTTTTTGCACTGCATTGCAGAGGCAATGATTACTACTATGTGGCCAAAGTAATAAATTCTGCTAACTTTTTATCATCCAACCTGAAAAAAAAGGCCTGGCATGTTTGTGACATTTCAGTGATGCTAATAAAGATATTACAGAATCATGAATTGGGTTTCTATACATGGATTACATTGCTACCCTTCCAATTTATAGCATTTTTGATTGACGGGACAATCTGCCTCAGAAGAATTAAATCTCCAACAAATATTACAGGCATTAATAATTCTATAACGCATAAAGTATGTTGAGACTGTTTTATAACAGCATTCCTTGGTTCCAATTTTAATCTTCTAGATTAAAGCTACAAAAGTAAAAATCTATCGTGCTCCAACTCTGTTACAGCATTTTATTTCCACTTTTCAGATAGTGTTCTTAACTGCTATACTGGAATGCCAGGCAAATGGTAAAAGTTGAGCATCCCTTGGGACCAGAAGTGTTTTGGATTTTGGAATATTTATCCACAGATTCAATATCCACACTTCAATCTCCCGCCCCCAAGGTCTTTGGGGGCTCTTCTAAGTCCTTCAGCAATAATTTCAACTAAGTATAATCAAAATATAGGATTAACTATTATCCATGGTTTCAAGTATTGTCCAGGGGTGGTGAGGTGGTGGCACGGGTGGTGGTGGCTTGGAATGTATTTTCTGTAGTGGTCATAATGAGATATCATGGAGATGATACCCAAGTCTAAACATAAATTTAATTTCTGTTTTATATGTACCTTATACACAAACCCTGAAGGTGATGTTAGATACAATGTTAAATAATGTTCAGCATGAAAAAAAGTGTGTGAACGCCAAACTACCAGAAAACAAAAGCATCACTAGGTCAGCCACTTGTGGAGAATTTTGGGATTCTGGATAAGGGACAGTCAGCCTGTATTACTAAGAGAGCTTACCAACTTATGATGACCCTCTCGTGGGGTTTTATTGGCAATGCCTTCCTCTCCAGTAGGGAATATCGCCTGCCCAAGGTCAGAGTGGGTTCTCATGGCTGCATGTGGACTCAGTTCATGATCTTGTTCAGTTCCAGTCCAGCACTTCAACCACTACACTTTGCGGCCACCTACTTATGTGACATCCTATATTGCTTATGTAACAATTCTTTCAATTTACTTGTAATTCCCTTCTACCTTTAAAAACCTGCATGCCACCCTGCCCAAATCGACAAATGTGCTAGGTAAAGAATATAGTTTTCTTTTGCGTGCCAAATAGGCTCAATAAAGAGTCTGCTTAACTGCCTGTTCTGTTCAGTTCCCACTTTGTTTGAGAACTTAAGAGTAACTACTAACAAAGACAATTCTGAGGAATAAAACTGCCCTAATCTCAAAGAGCCTTGAGTTTTAAAATGCACTGTAATGATTTTTCCACCAGCAAATATTAGCTGATAAAGCCGAGAGTGTTTGCCAGTTTACTAAATGTGAGCACTGTGACTACTGCATCACATAAACAATTAGGTTTACTGACAGGGTACCTCCAGATGCTGCCTCCTGGTCTAAGAACAAACTTTGGTGAAGGGGTTTTTTCCCTTCATACTTCACTTGTTTTTCCTCAAACTACATGCTTGCTACTGGAGGAAAGAAGGGACTACTGGAGGAAAGAAGGGACTTTGATCAGATCCTGGATTCTCATCTTTGGCCAGATGTGGAGAATGTGGGGCCCTCTATAGATGCTGCTAGACTGCAACAGTGATCGGCCTTAGTTAGCAATGAATGGTTGAACTACAATCAAGTTTGCAGTCTGAAGATACCTCGAGGGCCACACGTTCCCAATGCTTGCCTTAGTTAAGCTCGAATAATGGCCAGAATCTTTCCAGAAAGATGGAAGTGTAGAAGATATGAATTGTGATTTTTTAAAAATTTATTACTTGTCCCTGTTTGAAGTCCTTCAGCTCATGATTTTTCATATGTGAAGAGAAGGCAACAGTTTTTGCACATTTTCTTTTCACAAATATAATTTTATATATTTACTTTATTCTTCTTTGAATTTTTTTTAAATGGGAATAAGAGAAAAATGCTCTAAAACAAATATATAAAATCTCTCCACCCGACTAGTCATAATATAATTATCATAGTTCTAGGGTAGGAAGTCACAAAAAAATCCTAGCAAATGAAACCCAGTTTAATTTCTATTAATTAATTCAAGCATACAAAGAAACTCCTATTTATTAAGGCTTTTCCATCACTTCATTCTTGTCTTCCATTTAACTGGAGGATTTTTGAGTAACACCATCACTGGAAGGATGGTGAAGGAGGGATCAACAAACAAAGATTTTTGGTGTTCAGTTGCAGTAGCATGTGTGCAATAAACAATGAAATAAAGCTACAGCTGGGAAACAATGGGATTCTACTTAGCCGGTCTAACCGTTATTACAACAAGCAATCCAAACAGCAGTAGACTCCAGAATCCTTTAGTGAACATGCACGAAGAGCAAAACAGTGAAATGGGTGTGGCAGATAAGCCTGCCTTACCAACTATTCCACCAACAACAACAAAACCCATAGGTGTATGAAATGGAAATGGCTAGCGAAATGGAAATCATAAAAATAGTGGAAGATAGTGAAAGAAACAACCATTCCAAGATGAATTTTAGAAGTTTTCAAGTGGTTGCCAAAATTGCTCAAATATATTTTTTACTTATGTACAGCTTACCTGACCTAGTTATTTCAAGTACAGTTAGTTCTAATATAATGTTTGCTGAAGCATCTTGACTTCCTCTTTCATTTTGTGGGATAGGAAACTATTCTTATTCTTTCCATGCTATTTCTGACCTTGGCACCAAATTTTCTTTTAAAGAAGCAATGTCTAGGAACATATCTACTTTCTTAATGGGTGTATACATAGCAGTAAGTCTCCAAGGAGATCTTGGAGAGGCACAACACTCACTTGTACTTCTCACCAAAATATTAACAATAATAACAGCAATTTTGTCTCGAAATGCCCCAGTACCCTCAAGGGGGATTTTTGACAATCACTTTCCCCTTTCTGGATAATTTTAGACCCACTGGAGACCTTTCTTGACAACAGAAAGTAACCTACAAGTCTACAAGTCAACTTCGGTTATTCCCAGTCAGCTAAAAAAGTAAAAAAAAAAAAAGTCTACTGGATCTAAAAGAGGCAAAAATTGTCCCCCATGTCACTCATTGAATATTTGAGGCAAAACATACAAGGGGCCTTATGCAGTTTGCACTTTACCCATTTTACGAACCCATCTATTCTGTGAATTGCCTAATAACAGCTCTACTCATAACAGCATCCTCAATGTCCCAATGTAACAAAAGTTGAAGTATCGAACATACAGGTACCCTCAAAGGCATCAGCTTTCAAAATATCCCCACCTCATCCTTTCCTGAGCAAGCTGATATGGCTCCTTGTACCACCCAAGAGAACAGAAGGCCAAAAATAATTAAGTAAACCCTGCCACACACTTCCTAAGAACTGTAGTATTCCATTTTAAATTTAGCCCAATTCTATATTCCAACTCAGTCCAGATTTGCTATTAGGACTGTGAAACACTCACAGATCAGTCATGGCTGAACAGAAATTATTGTGGTTTGTCTGAAGTGAGCTGTCACTCTGTTCAATAAGTTTGTCTTTTCCCAAGCCAGTGCTGAGCCAGAACAGAACAAGCTTATCTCTCATTTCTAAGATACAATGAGCTCGCCTTCACCTGCTGCCGCTTTCCCAGTCCTGCTGTTCATCCTTATCTTTCTCCTCTTTGGCATCTGGCACATGTGGGTGCTTCTGCACGATTCTCATTCCGCCAGCCTTGACTGCAACACAAAATAAGACAGAGGGTATGGTGGGTCACATATTAAAGCAAATGTATCAAAACCACAAAGCACATGAAACATTAGAAATGAGTGCTCAAGTAATCTGGGATCTACAGAATGGTCGCTGCATTTGGGGTACATTTTTCTGATTATTTAAATATTCCAGACTTTGCAAGAAATGCTACCCAAACAATGCTTCATCATTTGACTATATGCATAATCTACTTACCTGAACCTAAAATTAGTGTCAGCATGTTCTCCAAAAATATAAAACAAATGGTTTTCATTTCCTAGACATTGCATACCAACAGTAGTATAGTGTGGTGCTCCATCCCCTGTGGAAAATTGCATAGCCACAAGCCTTTTATATGCCCGGCTAAAGCGGATGCCAAGCTTACTATAAGGAGTACCAAAATGAAAGATTTCCTGTGTAGACTTGCCATTATCACACTCACTTTCTGCACAGCTCTCAAAAACTGAATTTAGAGTTCCAGCTCTATTCTGTTTCACTCCTACTGAGTCAAATTGCTACAATGAGTTTAACAGAAAAATGCAGTGGTAACCCAGTTTAAGTATAATCAGATTCTTAAAGTTGCTTGTGGGGAAGCGGCTTCTGAGAATCAAATGAAGACACTTAAAATCCATGTCAGAAACACTGTTTTTTTCCACTAAGCATATAAATGCATTAATGTATTGTACTGTATGATTTTATTTTGTTTTTATATTTGTAATTATTGCGGCATCAAATTGTTGCCCTTGTTAGCCGCTCTGAGTCCCCTTGCGGAGGTGAGAAGAGAGGGGTAGAAATGCTGCAAACAAATAAATAAATAAATAAAATTTTAGCTGGCAGTGACATCACTGTGATACAAAAAGGCAGATTCCCATTTTTTATTTCCAGAAATTAACAACTCAGGGATTGTGATGAACAATTGTAAATGCAATGGAAATTGACACGGGATCCATGGAGATTCATTCCAGGACCTACAGTGAATGCATGAACACACAAACATGCCACATATTATTAAATAGCAGCAATATGATTGCACACAGTTCAGGGTGTTTGTATTCACATCATCATCATGCCCAAATATGGGATGTGGCGATCCGTGGTTGCAGGAATTTGCAAGAATTTGGTTCCAGGAGTGTGCTGATTTGGACTCACATAAAATACAGTCTGCCCTCCACATTCACTGGAAGCTGGAGACCCAAACAGCTGGAGGGCCGGAGTTTGAGGATGCCTTATCTAAGGATTTCATTCCCTTTCATAGCAGAGTCAGTGCTGGGTACATCTGAAGCTAATTAGGACCATAGACCTGGGCAAGTCATTCTTCACCATTAATTCCCCATCCAGTGAACAGAATTGTAACTATGTATTTCACTGATTTTGTGAGAGAACACAGAAGGAATAGGTGGAAACCACTCTGTGCCTGAAATATCACATTTCTCTGAATTTTGAACACTGCATTGGCTGTCAATGTAATTCCTGTCTGAATTCAAGGTGCTGGTGGTAACATTTACAGGCCTGAATGGCTTGCGATCATTATGCTTGAAGGAACTCCTCTCCCTATAAGTGCCTGTCTGAAAACTGAGGTGTATTGGAGAGACCTTCTTCTGTATCACATGCAGGGACACATACAATCCGGGAAGAGATGCAAGAGGGTTTTTTCTGATATGGCCCCAGTCCTCCCTTCAAAGTCCTCCCTTATTGCAGAGCCGTGATTGAGGAAAAACTGTTAACAAAATGTTGCTTTCTGGATTTTATTCTATGTGCACATGCGTCATAGTTTACATTATTTTGAATTGTTTTAACTGGTTTTGTTTAAATAGTTTAGTAAGCTTTGAAAGTATCCTTATCATTTTATACTGGTCTAAAATAATTCTGTTGTACGTTACCAGGATATTTGGATATAGTACAGCATATGTGTGTGTCTATAGACAGATAGCTAGGCACACACACACATCCATATCTATATATTGTAAATTTTCCTTCCACTTTGGAAAGTGCTTATTTAAAGTTCAAGATCCTGTTGATCAAACCCGTAGAAGAATTATCCTCTCAGGAACTGTCTCAATGCACATGTTCTATTTTTAAATGGATAGGCACATATGTGTTTTCCAAACTAGGGGGAGTCGTGATTGTTCATCTGTTGGGATTTGTGATTTTAATGAGTATCTATTAATATACTATGCTAATAGCTGCCCACTCTTCTGAGTGGATTAGAAATCACATTCAAACTAGTTCTCTTATTATTTTTCCTCTTTGCAAATGAGCACTACAATTCAGTGCACAATTATGAACATTTAAATCCCACTGAAATCGGTGGAGCTTAAATGCATCCAGTGGTGTGCTTGATTCAGCTGATGCAACATGCAAGACTGCTGGAGGGCACACCCTGTATCTAGGAGAAAGAAAAACAAATGGTTGAATTATTGTAGAACCATGCAGAGAGCACCATGAGATCATTGTGACATGACTTCTGAATCTGTGCTAATGTAAACAGTAAAACCAACTCACGTGATCCATAGAGTCACGCAGGAAAAGCTACACCTAGACTGGCGTTGGCACAGGGAGAGTGCCACGTCTGAATGTTCATTCCTTTCATGATATGTTTAAAATCACTTAGCATACAGAAAGCCACCAAGACAAGAGAAAACATTTCAGCTTTGCTTCTCACTCCTCTTAGTCCCCAACCCTTTATATGAAGGGAGGTTTGGAATGAAGTAAATACAATACCAGATGGGTACATAAAATAATCATTTTACTGCCAAAACGCCAAATAATAAAGTTCAGTTACAAAAAATAAACAATGGACACATTTATGAAGCCAAGACATTAGTAGAAATAGACTAATTAAATAACAAGAAATTGGCAAAGACACAAGATTTCCAGATATTCTCCTGTTTTGTTGAATCTTCTTCACACTTGCTATACTTCCTTGATAAACTGCCAAAATATACACCTCTCAAATAACTCACACAGAAATTATGTCTATAAAACATTTATTATATCTGCATTATATATGGATTTTTTTTCTATTTACGATACTATATTCATATTATTATTCCACTTCATTTATAGACATAGTAGCATATTGAACTCCATCTATGTGCTGTTTATTGTGTTCCTATTTTCAATCGTTGCTCTTCAGTGTAATTTTGAAGCTACTACAAAGCAGAAATATACAGGTCAAAGGCTAATAAAATGTTGTTTTAGCATCAGAGGTCTTGTCCTGATTTAGCATCAGAGGTCTTCTCAGTCCAGACTGCATGGGTGACCCCACCACCTATCCGTTCTGGTAACTGAAATCCATCTTGCTTTTTAAAAAAATGGAATGGGTGCCAGAAAACCCCAGGGCTTTTGATTTATGGGATATGGCACCTTCAGCAATTCCCCATACCCTGTATTTCCTGCTCAAATTACTATGATTATTCATATCATGGAGAGGAAACACAATGGCCTCCAAACTTTATACTAGATCTACAACCAGACAGCATAGTCCAGATTTTTTTCATCATAGCAGAAGCAAATTGAAAATATATTGCAAGTCACGTCTGGTGTGAGAGAATCGGCAGTCTACAAAGACGTTGCCCAGGGGATGCCCGGATGTGTTACCATCCTGTGGGAGGCTTAACTCATGCCCCCACATGGGAAGCTGGGGCTGACAGACAGGAGCTCACCTCATCTTGCGGATTTGAATCATCGACCAGGTCAGTAGTTTAACCCAAGGGTTTAACCCAGTGGTTCCCAACCTGTGGATCCACAGATGTTTTGACTTTCAACTCCCAAAAATCCTAACAGCTGGTAAATTAGCTGTGATTTCTGAGAGTTGTAGGCCAAAACACCTTGGGACCCACAGGTTGAGAACCACTGGTTTAGCCCACAATGTCACCACGGCTCTCATAGTCCAGAATGAATAATAGGTAGACTTAACATCTGGAAGGTCATTTATTCCTTGCCTATGTTTAAATTGCCAACAGTACATATGAAGTTTAAAAATATTAAAATGTCACTCTGCAATAAGCGAGGAGGCTTGTGCAGGTATGTAGCAGACTGAAGAAAGTTGGTAAAGTAAAAACAATGAAGTACATTAAGATACACTCAATACCCCCAAGAAGAGGAAGGAAAATCAAATGCAGATAAATACAGTTCTTGTTTTTCAACTCAGAGGAATTTACAAGCATGACAATTGTAAGAGTATTGCCCAGTCGTAAAAGCACTGCTTAGACTTTACTTGGAACAAGTGTTGAAGTCTGATACAAAAGTTAATCAATATGTGAACACAAACGAATTACACTCCTGTTGCTAAGGGTGATGGTGTTTTCTTATATTATCATGCCATTTAAATTTTGCTACTAAATGTTTTATTTCACTCCTGAAAACTGAGAGCAGCACTCAATAAAGAACAAGAATTTGTTATGCTCCAAGCAAGAAGGGAAGTGTTGATCAATTAGTTCTGTTATTGTCATTATTCTTATTGTGTCTTAATTTTTACTATACTGGATGTTGCTTCAGGTGCTACTACTGCAGGTAAAGTAACTAAGAAGCATACATTGGATTGCAATGTTACTTAGTGGGAAAAGACAGAGAGAACTCAGTGGGACAAATTCTGAAAACGTAGAAAGGAGTGAGGTACACTGCTGCAATCCTATGCCCGTTAATTTGGCAGTAAATACCACATAAAGAGCAATATTTATTTACAAATAAAATAGGCATATAATGAAGCTGTACATTTAAAAAATAAAGTAAGTACTACTTTATTTTTAAAATGTACAGCTTCATTATATGCCCATTTTATTTGTAAATAAATATTGTTCTTTTAGTGGTATTTATTGCCAAATTAACAGGCATAGGACTACAGCAGTGTACCTCATTGGATCTGATGTTATGCTAATAAATGCCACAACAGCTCAAAGTCTCAGTTATATGCCCTGATATCTGGTTACATTCCAATGGCTTTCTGGACCATGAACCCAGCAGAAACAAATACATCACAGGGTCT